CAGTTTTGGGCCTGCAGTGACAAGACACGCGGGGCCTCTTGGGATGGGGGTGGAGCCAGCCTTTTTCTCCCCACCCCAACGAGACCCCAAGTCATCACCCACGAACGGCCTCTCTGACTCCTGATCAAGCTGCTTGATGGCTATGATCCCAGAGACTCAGAAACAAATCTCAGAACCCAGTGGCTTTTGGCAGAAATGAGTCCAGACCGCAGTAGGTTACTGTCACTGGGCCACCCCAGGGGGGGAAGGGTGCTGTCCCACCGCCTGCACCCCCTTGGTGGCTCAGTGGCTGCCATCCGCCAGAGGCCACTGGACAGTCAGGTTTGGGCCCACAGTGACGAGAAACATGGGGCCTCACGAGACGGGGGTGGAACCGGCCCTTTCCTCCCCACCCTACTGTAACCCCGAGTCGTTGCCCACGAACGGCCTCTCTGGCTCCTGTACTCAGAGACTCAGGAACAAATCTCAGAACCCAGCAGGTTTGGGCAGAAATCCATCCAGATTTAAGTGTTAAAATTTCAGAATTTCAAAATCGCACAGCCACTACTGCAGCCACGCAACATCATATGTTATTCTTAACCAGCAATAGAAAACAAATTGTCTACTGTTGCCTTTTCAGCAGATCTGAGTGTTGGGGTAAAATCCCAAATAATAATGATGGGTCTGGTGTCAAAAATATTGAATGTGATCAAAGTAGAGAGAGAGTAATGTGGAAATCATCCGCTCCACAGGTAGGGGGAGGGTGTGGGATGGGAGTATACTGGGATTTTTGGTGGTGGAGAATGGGCACTGGTGAAGGTACAGGTGTTTCATTGTATGACTGAGACTTAAACTCAAAAGCTTTGTAACTGCTCTCACAGTGGTTCAATAAATAAAATTATAAAATAATGGGGGAAAAAAGTAAGTCTGGAGTTCATGCCCAATTCAAGCAGCTAATCAGTGGCTGAATAAATAGCAGTACTCTTACATAAAAAAAATAGGTTTTGTTTATAAATTTTTTTCATTTCTGCAATGTGCAATACTTATGTGATGGAGTTCCTGATTTAACTCCAACACTCATTTCTTAGTTTCCTATCATGTGAGACACTAACATTGCAAACTTGTGGTGAAGAGTTTCTATTGTCTTGACAATTTATCTGTAGATCTCAAACGACTGTCAAAGTCAACATTTATCAAAATATCAAAATTCAAGCTTTTATCTTGAGATTTAAATTCCCCAAAAAGTAAAAAAAAGAAATGTCTTAATTTTTTTTAAAAAGCAGACTTGTGCAAAGACACACCTTAAGTGTGGTGTTTCATAACCACTAAAATGCTCTCAAGACAGGTGAATTTTTAAAAATAAAAAACAAATTACAATGGGTATTTGATCATTGTATAATTGAAACCCAAGCACAAAATTTGTAAGTCTACAACTGTACCTCATGATGTCTCACTAATAAAAATTTTTTTAAAAAATTACAAGAACAGAAAAATTAATGTCTTAAATTACCTTCCCTTAAAAAGCTTTGATTTTTTTTTATGTAGCAGTACTGCTATTTATTCAGCCACTGATTAGCTGATTGAATTGGGCATGAACTCCACCTTACTTTTTTTTCATTTTTTATAATTTTATTTATTGAATCACTGTGAGAACAGTTACAAAGCTTTTGGGTTTAAGTCTCAGTCATACAATGAAACACCCGTACCTTCACCAGTGCCCATTCTCCACCACCAAAAACCCCAGTATACCCTCATCCCACACCCTCCCCCTACCTGTGGAACAGATGATTTCCACATTACTCTCTCTCTAGTACTCTCATCCTCCAATGGCCTCTGGAGGATGGCAGCCACCGAGCTGCCTAGGGGGAGCAGGCAGAGGGACAGCACCCTTTCCTCCCTGGAATGGCCCGGTGACAGTAACCTACTGCGGGGTCCGGACGCATTTCTGCCAAAAGCCACTGGGTTCCGAGATTTGTTTCTGAGTCTCTGGGATCATGGCCATTAAGCAGCTTGATCAGGAGCCAGAGAGGCCATTCGTGGGTGACGACTCGGGGTCTTGTTGGGACAGGGAGGAAAGGGCAGGCTCCACCCCCATCTCATGAGGCCCTATGTGTTTCATCACTACGGGCCCAAACCTGACTGTCCAGTGGCCTCTGGAGGATGGCAGCCACCGGGCTGCCAGGGGGAACAGGCCAAGGCATGAAACCTATTCCCACCTGGGGTGACCCAGCACCAGTAACCTACTGCAGAGATTGGATGCATCTCTGGAAAAAGCCGCTGGGTTCCACGATTTGTTTCTGAGTCTCTGTGATCATGGCCATTAAATGGCTTGATCAGGAGCCAGAGAGGCTGTTCTTTGGAGAAAACTCAGAGTCTCGTTGGGGTGGGGGGAAGGGCCAGCTCCACATCCATCCCGTGAGGCCCCGCGTGTCTCGTCTCTGTGGGCTCAAACCTAACTGTCCAATGGCCTCTGGCAGAGGGCAGCCACAGAGCTGTCAAGGGGGAGCAGGCGGAAGAACAGCACCCTTTCCCTCCTGGGGTGGCCCGGCAACAGTAACCTACTCTACGGTCTGGATGCATTTCTGCCAAAAGCCGCTGGGTTTTGAGATTTGTTTCTGAGTCTCTGGGATCATGACCATTAAGTAGCTTGATGGAGCCAGAGAGGCCATTTGCGAGTGGCAACTCGGGGTCTCATTGGGACGGGGAGGAAAGGGCCAGCTCTACCCCATCCCCATCCCGTGGGGAAAGAGCTGGCTCCACCCCATCCCCATCCCATGAGGCCCCACATGTCTCGTCACTGTGGGCCCAAACCTGACTCCCTCTGGAGGATAACGGCCACCGGGCTGCCAAGGGGAACAGGCCAAGGCATGAAACCTGTTCCCACCTGGTGTGGCCTGGTGCTGGTAACCTACTGCGGGGACCAGATGCATTTCTGCCAAAAGCCGTTGGGTTTCGAGATTTGTTTCTGAGTCTCTGGGATCATGGCCATTAAGCAGTTTGATCAGGAACCAGAGAGGTCATGCCTTCAACTATATAGCTGAGCCAGAGGTGGTTTGTGGGTGTGTTTCCCACATACCTAACTTTTGGCCGTTCACTTTCTTGGTAAACTTTGCCCCAAGTTTTTGGAGTCTGGCCAAAGGCACAGCAGCAATTTTGGGGTATCTGGAAGTCTGAAGGTGCCATGAGGCTGCTGATGCACTCGCCTCACGGGCACAGATTGACCTGCTGGCGGCACCATACCCCCTAAAACAGGTAAAATTTGAATGAGTACCATTTTATCCCTCTTTTTTTCCCATGATTTATGAAATGATATTTTCAGTAGCTTTATCTGTGTATTTTCCTGTTTCCCCTGACCACATTTTATTCTCTTTTTGGAAAAATGGAGAACTGGTATTCCAGACTAATTTTCTCACAGAATGCAATTTAAGAAAAAAATGATGAAACTAGATGTAACATGAGGACATTGGTGGAGGGTCGTGGACACTGGGGGTGGTGAGGTGAAGTAACTGTGTACATCAAACCATAAATATTAACACTATTGTGAACATGTGATTAAACTATAATAATTGAAATTTTTACATAGAAAGTACTGGAACTAGAGAGTTAGTACAGTAAGTAAGGTATCTGCCTTGCACATAGTCGATCTGAGTTCTATTCATATCACCCATCTGACCCTTCCAGGCTGCTAGGAGTGATTCCTGAGCACAGAGCCAGAAGTAAGCCTTGAGCACTGGGGATGAGCCAAAAACCAAAAAGAACAAACAAACAAAAATACAAAAAACTGCTAAGATCCCTAAAACAATCTAGTCCAACAACAGGGAAGAGGTGGATATTCCAAAGTGTATAAATGATAGTTTCAGGGAAAAAAAGTTCAATGAGCTAGGGCACACCTTTACACATCTGAGCAAACATCTGCGCAGGTAGACATCTAGGTTTGATCCCCAGCACTGCAAGGTCTCTGAGCACTATAGAGTGGGTGTCCCCCCACCTCAAAATGTACAAAGTCTTTAGGTTCTTTGATCTGTGGTAGCATTTGCTAGCATGTACATTTTCTCATTCCTCAAGCAAAAATCTCTCCAAGATCCCTATTTTCACAGTCACTACACTCTGAAGACATGTTTTTATTTAACATCACCCAATTTTGACTGACCTTTCTCTTAGCAACTACATCCTCACTTCAAATACTGAAGACACACAAAGTTGATCTCAAAGGCTGATGGGTGGCCTTCCTCTAACAACGCTAAAATATCAGAGGCCGTGAGTATGGAAAGATAGTACAGTGGATATTGCAAACCATAATGTCCAAAAGGAGAGAGAGAGAGAGAGAGAGAGAGAGAGAGAGAGAGAGAGAGAGAGGAGTATGGGGAAAATTGTCTGCCAATTCTGGGAGGATACTGGGGGCTTTGATGGTGGAAAATGTGCACTGGTGGAGGGATGGGTGTTCGACCATTGTATGACCGAAACTCAAACATGAAAGCTTTGTAACTGTATCTCACGGTGATTCAATAAAAAATAAAAAATATTTTTTTATCAAAAGATAGTACAGGGCTAGAGAGACAGCACAGCGGATAGGGCATTTGCCTTGCACGTGGCCGACCCGGGTTCGATTCCCAGCATCCCATATGGTCCCCTGAGCACCGCCAGAAGTGCCTCCTGAGTGCAGAACCAGAAGTAACGCCTGTGCATCACCAGGTGTGACCCAAAAAGAAAAGAAAAAAAAAGATAGTACAGTGGGCAGGATGCTGGCTTTGCACACAGCCAACCTGAGTTCAATCTCTGGCAGCCCAAATGGTCCCCCGTGACCCACCAGGAGTGATCCCTGAGTGCACAACCAGGAGTAAGCCCTGAGCACAGCTGGGTGTGGACCAAAGCCAAACAAAATTAGAGGCCATTCTAGTCCCCATCCCCCACTGCCCACAACACCCCTTCCCCCATGTGCATGTTGTAAAGCTGTCTCTCTTTTTTATGCACCTTTATTAGGATCAGTGAAAAGCCACAAGGAAATGCTGTCTTGCACTTGCCTTCAACTCATTAGTGTCGGCCAGCTGGGCCTTGAGCGCCGTGTTGGATTCTCGACACTCGCTCAGCTCCTTCTGCAGCCTGTCCGTCTTCTTCTGAAGCTTCCTGATGGCGAGCTGGGCCTCGTCCCTCTCCACCGCCAGCGCCGTGCGCATGTGCTTCTCCTCCTCCAGCTGTGCGACTTTCTGCCGCAGCAGCTTAACGTGCAGCTCTCGGCTCTCCAGCCTTTCTTTCTGGGCCCTGAGCTGTATGGTACAAACACGGGGTAGAAGATCATCAGAGAGGGCTCAAAGGGCAAGTCTAGGGGGTGAGATGCTTGCCTGGCATGCGGCTAGCTCTAATTCACTGCCGATGGCCCCCTGGAGCACAGAGGCAGGGCTGATCCCTGAGCATTTCTGAGTGTGGCCCCAAAACCGAAACTAATAAAAATCATCATCATCATCATCATCATCATCATCATCATCATCATCATCACCACCACCACCACCATCATCAAACCCTCAGCAAATACACATAAAGTCTTTGCATGAGGTGGACCTCTCTCCATATATCAACGAGATTAATTTATAAACCATCAGAAAATCTATTAGATTCCCTTTCCTGGCTGTAGGATAACACTCTTTTGTCCTTCCTCAGGTAGCTTAGGTTTGTCAGGTCACACCCATCTAAGAACACTGAACTTGTATTGTAAGCAATGTCCTTTCTGTGTGGACACAGGAAGACAGTTAATATTATGCTTTGTAACTTGGGAGTTGATTGACTCCGAATAATATTTACTCCTGGGCATCTGATTTCTTGACTCAGTTGCCCTTAGTTCCTAGCACCCCAAAAGCAGGGTCCCGACGAGGGACTGAATAGACCCAGGGCAAGCAGTGAGCTACCCTGGCATCGAAATGGGCCAGGCCAAAGAGCCACGATACTCAACTATAAGTTGAGGGCATGATCATGGACAAATGCTGTCATGATCCAAAAGTAAGTAACAACAAGACTAGGACCCTGCTGGAGCTAGGAAGATTAACCTGGCCTGAGGACTGCAAAATGTATAGTGAGATGTTCTCAGGAAGAACCAAATTAAATTTATATCTCTTACTGTGCTCATACAGAATGACATTGCTAGAAATATTAGAAGTAGATTTATTACAACTATTTAAGTAGATTACTAACTGAGGGAAGAACACACCCTTGTTGGGATCCCACCCTTGGGTGGATCTCCTACTAATCTAATCTGAAGTAATCTCTGTAGATGAGATTTTATCCTTGAGTTAATCTCCTGGAGGAGTGGTCTTACCTCTCTTTGTTGATTCGTCAGTATTCAACCCACCTTTATGTCACCGCCTTATGTGACTGCTATATAAACTAAGACGTAAGCTCGGAAAGGGAGTCAGAAGCGAGAGAGCTCGGGCTCCAGAGATCCAGAGTCAGAGCCAGAAATAGAGAGGTTCCAAGACTGGGGCCCAGGAGAGAAGGAGGCAGAGAAATACAGGAGTGAAGAGGATTGGAATAAACTACTATTGATATAGACCGGCCTGGCCCCCATTTCTTCTTCTGTCTGCCCTTGGCCAACAGTCGTTCCAATCCAGGCCACACACAGCGGCTCAAGAGCACCGAAAGCAGGCGGCGAGACAGTGCCGTCCAGTGAGCCCGTGAACACACAACCTTCGGCGTGATAAGATTTTACACCTGGCTATATTTTTATTCTTATTTTTTCCCAAGAATTGACTTTGAAACTATAAGGTAGGAGACAAATAACTACCAAAAAAATGTACAAAGAAGCAGGCTTTTAAGATCTGCTTCCATCCAACATAATGTACATAATAATCAAAACATAAGGGCTAGGGGCTGGAGAACAGCGGGTAGGGTGTTTGCCTTGCATATGGCCGACCCAAGTTCAATCCCCAGCATCCCATAGGGTCCCCCCAGCACCACCAGGACTAATTCCTGAGTGCAGTGCCAAGAGTAACTCCTGAGCATCGCTGGGTGCGATGCAGAAGGCAAAAAACTAATGTAAGGGCTATTTTTGGATACTTTCATTGTTTAAAAAATACACATATGGGGCTGGAGCGATGGTCCAGGGGTAGGGCGTTTGCCTTACACACGGCTGACCCAGATTCAATTCCCAGCATCCCATATGGTCCCCCAAGCAGCACCAGGAGTAATTCCTGAGTGCAAAGACAGGAGTAACCCCTGTGCATCACCAGGTATGACCCAAAAAGCAAAAAAAAAAAAAAAAATACACATGATGGAGCCAATGAGGTAGTACAGTGGTTAAGGTGCTTACCCTGCATGCAGTCAATCCTAATTCAATCCCTGGCACCACAGATATTCCCCTAAACAGAGATAGGTATGACACCCCCCCCTCCCAAAGAAACGCACACACACGTGCATGCACACATCAGTGCATACAGAAAAAATAACCCAATATTCTTACAATGCACCAGCAGCTTTTTGTTGTTGTTTGTTTGTTTTGGATTCTTTAAGTATATGTTGCTTAATGTAGTGCTCTTTTTGGCTAGAATCTCACAAGTGCTTCATCTTTGCGATAGCATTTAATTTAGGAAGTTTTTATCTTTTGGTCTTGCTAAAAGAGAATATAGCATTTTTCACATGGTAGAAATTAACAAGAAAACTTTCCTTTAATTCCTTTTTTATACTTTATGGTGAGTAGTAGGGGAAATGCGACTATAGATCTTTCCTAGCCAAAATTATGGAAGCTATTTCGACCGCACAGCGGTAGGGCGTTTGCCTTGCACGCAGCCAACATGGCCGACCCGAGTTCGATTCCTCTGCCCCTCTCGGAGAGCCCGGCAAGCTACCGAGAGTATCTCGCCCGCACGGCAGAGCCTGGCAAGCTCCCCGTGACGTATTCGATATGCCAGACACAGTAACAACAAAGTCTCCAATGGAGACGTTACTGGGCCCGCTCGAGCAAATCGATGATCAACGGGAGGGCCTTTACCTTTACCTTTATTTCGGCCCATGTGCAACCCTTTTTATTTTACTAAAAATGGAAACTGTGGCCTCTTGAGAAGCAAAAAAAAAAAAAAAAAGAAAAATCGTCTCCACTCTCCACTCTGCATTTAGCTATATTCATGTACTGCATTTTGGTATTTTTTTTGTTTGTATCATAAAAAAAATCCACATCATAAAGTGTTGTGATGTAAAACAAACACATCAAAATGTAGGGGCTGGAGAGACAGCTCAGTGCCATGCACACCTGACACTGTTGGATGGACCCCTGGGGGACCCTAAAAGCACCACAGGCCTCGAGAAGCACCGAATCCTCATGTCCGAGCAGTGAACTGCCTAAAATCCAGTTGCCAAGGGAACTTTCAAATTTTTTGGTTCATTGGAATCTTTATTATATGCCTGACCTCTACCGTCCTCAAGCCAGGCAGAGAAAAAGGTCTTCAAGCAGCACTTATCATTGTCAATCCAACTTAAAAACAGAAATCACAGTGCTTTTAACAAAACAAATTGTGGAACTTGAGTGGGTGGCGGGGGGGGGGGGGGGGGACCTCCTAGGGCTCACAATTACCAAATGGAATATTAAGGATGGAATCCTCCTCCAATGATTGCCAATTCCAGGAAGTCTATAAATTTAAATAGCATCAGAAATGATGACGGTGACATTTTCCCTAATGATATACCCTGCATTTGTAAAGTGTTTGCAGGTAAAAAAGTAAAGTGAGACTTGAGTAGCCTGTTGGAGATCTAGCAGAATTCATACCCCCGCTGTTCTGTTGTTGTTGAGTTGGGCTTTTGGAGTACTGAGGTCCTCACAGAGGCCAGGCAGACACTTCCATTTTAGTATTTATTATTCCATTTAGAATTCCTTCTAGTATTTCTGTAACTAAACTACCTTCTTGGACCTTCATGTCAAATTCCACTCTGCTAGAAATTTAATGCTGGTAACTTCTACACACTGGTTGTTCCAAAATTAGGCAATGTTTTAGAAGGATTATGGTGATAAGGGTCTATCTCACAGTGATTCTGTCAAAGAACTTTAATAATATAAATGAATAAAAATTATTTAAAAAATTTAATTTAAAAAATTTAATTAAAATTTTTTAAAAATTTAGGACTGGAGCAATAGCACAGCGGGTAGGGCGTTTGCCTTGCACGCACCCAACATGGCCAACACAGGTTCGATTCCCAGCATCCCATATGGTCCCCCGAGCACCACCAGGAGTAATTCCTGAGTGCATGAGCCAGGAGTAACCCCTGAGCATCGCCGCGTGTGACCCAAAAAGAAAAAAAAAATTTTTAATTTAAATTTTAAAAGTAGTATTATGGTGAATATAGAGGGAGGAAGCAATGATTCAAAATTTTTATGAGGAAACAAACTGTGCTCAATTTAGTATTTCTGATGGCTTCCTATCTCTTAATAAAGTATTCCTGAGACTGGGGAAATAGTACAGCAAGAAGACACTTGCCTAGCACATGGCTGGTGTGGATTTGATCCCTGGCATCCCATATGGTCCCCTGAGCACTGCCAGTAAGTAATCCCTAAGCGTAACCCCGTGTGGCCCAAAAACCAAAACAAGCAAAACATTTTTCCTGTAGACAGTCAATGGAGAAGAGAGCCAACATAAATCAAGTATTCTGCATGAACCACAAGTTCCAAATTTCATTTACTGAAAATCAGCAGCCACACAAGATAGGTACCATTCGTGTTTAAATCATGAACAAGCAGACACATTGGCTTCTGTCATTTTTCCAAGGTCACACAGCTTGGTGGCACTAAACTGGAAGTCCCAGATGTAGCTCATTAAGCAATCTGCTTTCTGTAATTCTACCACAGAATTTTCTCCTAAGAACTGCTCTAAGAACACATATGTGTTTTCCCCTATGTATCTCCAATGCCAATAATTATATAACTAATAATTATATTTTAATACTTTTCATCTTTTTATTTAGTCTAAACTCTTTCTAGCTCTTCCTCAGAGTAAGTGAAAAGTTCTCAGTAAGTAAAGGAATATACATGATAACCTTTCAGTATCTGTACTGCAAATCATAATGCCCAAAAGAAAAAATGAGAGAGAGAGAGAGAGAGAGAGAAGAAAAGCAGAAGAAAAGAGGAAGGTGGGGGACCAGGAGGGAAATTGGGGACACTGATGGTGGGAAAGGTACACTGGAAAAAGGACAGATTTTGGAGTATTATATGACTGAAACCCAATTATGAACAACTTTGTAACTATGTATCTCACTGTAGTAGAAGAAAAGAAGGAGGAGGGGGGAGGAAGAGGAGAAGGAGAAGGAAAAGAAGAAGGAGGAGGAGGAGGAGGAGGAGGAGGAGGAGGAGGAGGAGGAGGAGGTGGTGGTGGTGGTGAAGGATAAGCAGGAGGTGAAGGAGGAGAAGGAAAAGAAGGAAGAGGAGAAGGAGGAGGACTAGAAGGAAAGAAAAAGGAGAAGAAAGAAGAAGAAGAAGAAGAAGAAGAAGAAGAAGAAGAAGAAGAAGAAGAAGAAGAAGAAGAAGAAGAAGAAGAAGAAGAAGGAGGAGGAGGAGGAGGAGGAGGAGGAGGAGGAGGGGGAGGGGGAGGAGGAGGAGGAGGAGGAGGACTAGAAGGAAAGAAAAAGGAGAAGAAAGAAGAAGAAGAAGAAGAAGAAGAAGAAGAAGAAGAAGAAGAAGAAGGAGGAGGAGGAGGAGGAGGAGGAGGAGGAGGAGGAGGAGGAGGAGGAGGAGGAGGAGGAGGAGGAGGAGGAGGAGGAGGAGGAGGAGGAGCTTATAAAGTCAGATACTACTGAGAGTTTCATAAACCTCTTCTTCCATAGTAACAGAACTAGAATTTTCAGCTAGTCAAATAACACCCCCATAGGAGAGACTACAGCTTCAAACCTCCCTTGCAGCTAGGTTTAACTATTTGAACATAGTCTGGATATTATACACAAGTTGATGGAGCAAATTTCAGAAGTCTTACAAGACAGCTCATGCGTGCTCTTCTACATTCCTCACAGTCCTCCCTTCCCTGTTTTCTGCCTGAATCTCATAGGATGGTGCTAGATACCATTTGCTATCACATAGGGAAGGGTAGCCTGAGATGTAAGCTTAATATACTGAAGTAAGCTGGTTCCTTAAAAAAACAAAAAAAAAGGGAAAAAAACTTTTTAGCACAGCGGGTAGGGCATTTGCCTTGCACGCGGCTGACCCGGGTTCGATTCCCCGCATCCCATATGGTCCCCTGAGCACCACCAGGGGTGATTCCTGAATGCAGAGCCAGGAGTAATCCCTGTGCATCACTGGGTGTGACCCAAAAAGAAAAAAAAGGGAAGAGAAGAGGATGAACCGGGAGGGTAGAATTCTGAATGAAATCAAAGAGAAGACGGAACCTAGGAAGATGAAACAAAGGAAAAGACAGTTTTGAACAAACCCTTGACCTTGGATTGCATTCTGATGACAGAATGCTGAGGGAAAGGTAAGAAGGAATTCATGAGTGGACTAAGGTGAGAGGCATAGGACAGTGATTGAGGGCTGTGGGCATGGTGGTGGTGAAGAAATACAGGCATTTTTACATCAATACCATCTGTTTTGTATTCATCTAACCCCCTTCCTCAAAAACGTTTAACCCTGTAGAAAAGAACTCCCATACTCATCCTACATTGTTTATCACCGGAAAAGTACATGAGAAGAAATAAAACAATGGGGCTGGAGCAATAGCACAGAGGGTAGGGCGTTTGCCTTGCACACAGCTGACCTGAGTTCGATTCCTAGCATCCTATATGGTCCCCCAAGCGCTGCCAGGAGTAATTCCTGAGTGCATGAGCCAGGAGTAACCCCTGAGCATCACTAGGTGTGACCCAAAAAGCAGAAAGAAGAAAACAAGATGCTTCTTTTTGTTTAAGTCACTGCTGTCCAGTGTCCAAGCCCACAAACGAACGTAGCCAGAGGTGATGCATTTACCATCCTATCAGACGTGATGTAGAGACTCTGATTCTAAACATACATAGGTATACACATGTGTATGTATGTATATATAAAAAGACACTTCCTAGCCACGTTGGCAAGCACAGGAAGAGTAAATTAGTTTCCATATTTAAGTTCCTCGAAAATCCCTTGTCTCATCGCCTTTTCAGTCCCCCTACCTTCCTCTGTAAATTGTGGGCGATCGTCTTGTTTTCGATGACTGCGCTGCTCTCCAGACGGACCAGCTGCTCCGCGCGCGCTAGAACGACATCCAGACGCATGTCAAAGCCAAGCTCAGCTGCCATCTGGTCCAGTTTCATTTTCTCGGAGAGCTGATCCAAAAACTGAAGATACTAAACCCGAGAACCAAAAGGAAAAATGGGACACAGAAAAATTAAGTTAACAGGTGATCTCACGGAATCTATCTCCTCCCGGGCTTGCAGGGAGATCTCAGGGAGGCCCACAACGGGGCCTGAACCCTGAGCTGCATAGGTGGGGAGGAGATTCTTAACCACACTTCCACCCCGAGCCCTGGCTCCTCATCCAAATTTCCCCTGACTCAGGGCTGTGGGCATGGCTCAGTGGTAAAACTAGCATGTCTTGGATGTAGGGAACCTGAGTTCAATCCCTAGTGCTGCAAAAGTTGAAAAAGCAAGACCCTAATGCTACTGACTCTCCTGGAGGTCAGTGGCCTTAGTCGGTGTACCTAATATTGTACACTCTCCTTATTGTTTTATTTTATTTTATTTTTTTGTTTTGCTTTGCCAGGGATAAACCCAGGGTATCACACAGGAAAGGCTCTACCATAAAGTTATTGTTCTTACTGCCGCCATATGGCAAATCTATCCGACTCCTGAACACTTTCACATTTCCACTTGGGTTCCATAGTGCCACCACCACCATCCTTTCAAGTTAATTCTGCACCCACTAAGATCTACCCGTACATGGACAGTTTGGGGCAACTTTTTCCTCCAAAGTGATTTTTGGTCTCAAGGTAGTAAATGGGGGCCAGAGCAATAGCACAGCAGGAAGAGCATTTGCCTTGCAAGTGGCCGACCCAGGTTCGATTCCCAGCATCCCATGTGGTCCCCTGAGCACTGCCAGGAGTAATTCCTGAGTGCAGAGCCAGGAGCAACCCCTGTGCATCACTGGGTGTGACCCAAAAAAAAAAAGAAAATTAAGGTAGAAAATAATGACAAGTAGGCTCTTTCTTGTTTGTTTTTTAGTTTTTGTGAATCTTTTGAAAGGGAGGGAGAAGGTTTTGGGAACACCTGGCAATGCTCAGGGCTTACTCCCTGACTCACTTTAGGTAGGACTCAGGGGGTCAGATGAGATGCCAGGGATCAAACCCGGGTCAGCTGCATAGGAGGTCAGCACCCTACCCACTGTACTATCTCTCCGACCCTTGTTTGATTTTAGTAAGTTAGAATACTTGAGAAAATGTGATTAAGAGTTCTCAGTGTGTCAAAAGTAATGGGCAACACTATAAAACATAGCAATAGCAAGGATTACTTTAGTTCATTGTATTTTACATGCCAGGATGTATGTTTTATATATAAAAGACAGTTCCTAGCCACGTTCCAGACTCAGGAACTTATGCATGCAAAATAAATACTTTCTCCCTGAGCCACATCCCCAACCAAAGTTTATGTTTTTAAAGGCTGACATAATACAACTGTTCTAGGGTCATCCTCTACTTGACTTCCATGGCTTATCTGGCTATGAGTAGACTTAGACCAATGCCAACTAAGCATATCAATCAATGAGCTCCCTAGGCATTAAATTTCTTCTCATCACAATCATTCCCTACCCTATCCATCAAGAAATTTCCATTCAAGACTTATGTTGGACTTCTTCTCATGAGAAACCATTATTAATAGTAATGTAAACCAAAAAAATTAATATTTTTTAATTTTTAAAGAACTAATATGTAAATGCATATAATTTCCTTATGAATAAAGCCAATTGGCTTAAATCCCAGATCTATATAGACCATCTGGATAGAATTACTTGTGTCTGTTTTCCCTTTTTGTTTTCACTAGTACACATAAATGTTAATGATTTCTTTATAAGTCACAGTCATTACATGCATCACTTATTATCCCATGCTATGAGGCCATGGGTGGCCTTTGTCTCTGCCTCACCAGTTTGTCACTTCCTAATGCTGTGACATTCCCCCTTGGAAATTTTCATCTCTAATCTGTGAAAATAAAAATGAAATAGTTACTGTTGCCTGCATTCTAAATAGAGTCAGTACTTATGTGAAAATACTTCCTGTTACTATATAGGGCTTCCACTGAGCTCACACAACAACCAAAGTGACTGAGATTGGGCCCCAGCAAGAGCGACAGAGAAAGTGCCGAGTTCCAGGACCTTGGCTGTGCCTCTACAAGTGAAGATTGCTGGAAGGAGTACTATATATTTTGCTCATTTAAATCACAGTTTAGCAGAAACCTTCTATTCTATTTTGCTCAAACCTGAGTTGCCTGCATCTAAATGTGAATTCCAACTCCAATTTTCAATTTCGCATGCCTACTAGCTTTACTAGAATATATACTCCATAGGCAGCTGCTATCGGTGGAAATTTTCCATAGATACTGTTTCCATAACTGAGAGTTAACTGGGCTTACTCCCAATTAAAATGAATGTACCACTATAATGAAAGAAGGGAGGAGATACCAAGGGCCCTAAAATTCTTTCTTTAGGATGATTGAATACACGCTTCACCTAGGATTGAAATCATATTGACTCTTGCTCTAAACTCTAGGGAGACCCAAAAGAATAAAGGAAGAAAACAGATTGCCCCGGGGACCACTAGAAGCAGGAGTCACAGGAACAGATGGATTGAATGAGAAAATGAACTGAGGAAGGTGATGTGTGGTGACAAATCAGCAAATACTGCTTGAAAGAGAACCAAGTCTCTCAGCAGACAGGAAATGCTATCACTGCAGAGGCTTGAGGAGACCATTCCTACCCAGTGTGGACCACAAGGGCCCATTTTCTGGGACAAGGGGCAGTATGCCATAGGCAACATGGAATATGGCAGGGGCCATATGGACCACAAAACCTCTGTAAGGAGAATGTTGTTCATAAGCTTGAACATGGAGATCTATTTTTTAATTTGTTTTCATTTTCAAATTTAATTCTTTTCATTTAAATTCATCTTTAACATTTTATGTGGGGCACCAAGAGTCACAATATCATGAGCCATTGGGTTTCAGGCAGATGAAATTGGACATGGAGGTCTTAAGATTTAGGCATCACTCCTTGACCAGGTGTGGATTCCTGGAGACTCCAGACTTGGCACCACTGACTGAAGAAATTTCAGAGGAGAGGACCACCCCCCCCAGAGGCAGTAAAGAACCTCAGCTAGGGAAAGGCAGAATGGGATCCTGCTCCAGTCCAGTGGAAGATGAAGAAAGGTGTGATCAGGTTTCAAGACTTCCTGGAAGCTTCCTGTGGCAGCAGGTGAGCTGGGAGAGGGGGGGAGGGGGGTGGTGCTGAGGAGCACTCCCTTTGATGGTTGTCTGCATGCCTGGAAACACAGACATCCTAAACACACATTTCCCTCCCCCTCATTCCTTTCTAAATAAGTATCAATGTAAATTACCTTGCTTCACAAAAATAAATAAATACAGAGATTGTGGGGTGTGTGTATGTGTGTGTGTATATGTGTGTGTGTGTTGGGGGTGGATTTGAGATGTACTAAGGAAACAGGATTTAGGGTGCAGAGGAATTGACTTAAAAGGAGATGTCCATGCTGTGGTACATCTATGTACTTGAACCACAAGACCGACAAAACTGTAAGCACGAGATCCAAACCACAACAACCAAACCTAAAATTGTGCCTGTCAGGGAGGCAGACTGGAGGGTGGGAGGGATCATTGGTAGAGAGAAGTTGACACTGGTGGTGAGATTTGGCGTTTGGTACATTGTGCGCCTGGAAGTCAACTATATTCATTTATATATGCACTTTGTAAATCACAATGCCTTTAATTTTAAAACGTTATAATTTAAAAAAAAATTTAAGTGAGCTATCAGGGGCTGGAGAGATAGTACAATAGGTAAGGCACTTGCCTGACATATGGTTGACCCCAACATTAACCTGGGCACCAGATATGGTCTCCCTAGCAGTACTAGGATTGATCCTTGAGCACAGAGCCAGGAGTAATCCCTGAGCATAGCCAGCCAGGTGTGGTCCACCCTCCAAAAAAAATCCTATCTATCTGGAAGTCATCATTCCTTTGACTGTACTCCTACAGTACTTTATTAATCAGAACATCCATCATAACCCTGAGAGTCTTTAGCAGAGCCAATTATTTGGATGTCTCCTATTCAATTATCTTTTAAAGATCAAGGACTGATCTAGCCATGCCTTAATTTGGGATCTCATATATAATAGGCATCCAATAAATATCTTCAGAGCTTAACTGAATGGATTCCGGGAAACTCCAAACAACAGGAAAACAACCTCAAGCACTATCTATTGTTCCCTGAAATGGACTTCTGACTCACAACTTAAACCACGTGTGGTAGCCCCGCAAAGGTCAGACTATTTTCAGCTTCTACTTTATCCTGCCACAGAAGATCCCGCCCAGGCACAAAGTCCTCCTGTTATTATTACTTTCTGTTTCTCAAAATGCAAGTTGTCCCTCAAGACGTCTCCAGAAACTAGTTCTCCTTCCAGGTGTGTCAGCTGACCCTGAAGCGTCTCCAACTTGTTTTCTGCCTTCTGGGCCCGTTGGAGTGCTTTCTGGTGAAATCCAGACTCATTTCCCAACTGTTCAACGAGCTCGGATATTTGGGCTTCAAGCTGGGAAACCATCTGGAAATAAAGAAACAAGCTTTATTTTAGATGCAAAATAAGCTGATAAGCTTTGTTTTAGATGCAACAGAGAATTAAGATTTAGTGCTCAGCCCAAGCAAGTGAACTATTTATAACCAACTTCTAGTTTCTTTGCGCAGGTTTTAAAAAAAAAAAAAATTAGGAGAGCTGCATTTTCTCCACTTGAAGTAGAGATGCATTCACTTTCTAATACTTTCATGACTATTTTTTGTATTACTTATTACACAGCTTAATAAAGAAATATTTATGGGTAACATTTACTGATCTCTAAAACTGTCATTAATTTAAGTACATTAAAGCGTAATTGAAAAAAAACAGGGGCTTTCAAATCTATAATCTGAAAATGTTCTCCTCCAAAGATATCCGTGCACTAAATAAAATTGGGTCAAGATTATATGTTCTGTTAATCTTGATAAAAAAATTTTTGAGACATCAGGAATTCAAGTACATAAACACGAATCTTCAAGCTTTTTTTCAACTTTTTATTGACTAGACACTAAACTTCACTTGTACTCACTCTGTACTTTATAATTAAATACTAATATTATCATCTCAGATCAAAATTCCTTTACCATGATGACTCTCCACACGCATGAAGGTACCGGCAGAGGAACAAAGGCATGCGGGTTTGGGGGCTGAGATCTCCAAGCCTGCTCGGATGGGGCTGAGCATCCTCCACCCAGATCCTCCATATTCCAGTAGGCAGGGGTCACACCCACCAACTGGCCCCCTGGCGCTGTGTAATCCCATCAATGGCCAAGACCCAGAGACTGTAAAACCCAGATCCTGGAAGCATGCGGCCTCATTAGCGGCCGCGCAACATCTTATTATCTCATTCTTATTTTGGACAAACTGGCAGGCTACCGAATGTAACCTGCCCACACGGCAGAGTCTGGCAAACTCCTCGTGGCGTAGCCAATATGCCAAATACCAGTAACAATGATGGGTCTTATTCTCCTAACCCTGAAAGAGCCTTGAATATGGCACATTTTAAAAAATCTCAGGGCTAGGACGAAGGAGACATTACTGGGGCCTGCTAGAGGCAATCGACAAACAACAGGAAGGTCATGATCGTAATCGTGATGATGGCTCAATATAGGACCAAAGATGACATGCAAGAGAGCAAGGGAGTCTAACTACTACAACCTCTTCTATAGAATCATCCCTTCTCTGTTATAGTCTCCATACTCTCACACCTACCAAACTTCCCCAAAGCTTCCACCGGTATATTTCCTCTTTTTGTCTTGAATATTCCCTTAAACCAATAATATAGGTTTAACAAAAACTCTGAAGTACTGTGAGAATACTCAAATATCCTCATCAAACAAGTTGAAGTTTTATAAAATACTGCACTCCATAAAACCCCAACTTTGAGGTTGTAAATTTGTTTTTGTTTTGACGGCTTATTTGAGAGTGGAAAGAGAAAAGTGGTAGGTATTTACATAATAGCACCAATATTGCAGTCGTTGAAATGTCCAAATAGTTTAAGACGAAGTCTTTAGGTTCATTTGTAAGGTTTGCTTTGTTTTTGTATTTGAGGCTTTTTGTTTGCTTTATTTTTTCTTGTCTATCTATAAACACTCATGTTTAAAAGCATGAAGACATCTGGGCAGTTTTCAACTATTTTGAAAGTCCAGTAAGATTTATAAAGAGTCTAAGTTGAGGATCAACAGGCGTAAGTCAGAGAAAGAGCTCTATTTAAATGTAAGAAAGAGACATTCCACAGCTGCTGCAGTTAAAAAAAAAAAGACCTACTTTCACAGCTTCATGAATAATCTCAGAAGAGACTCGAAGCTAAGTAGATGCAACTCACAGGTACACTGGTCTTTGGACTGAATCTCATGGGATGCCCTTGGGAGGGGAGCAGGCTGAATCCTCACTCTCCCTAAGCACCCAGCAACTGCACCCACATCCCACAGCCTGGATCCACCATGTAAACAAAGGCCCAGCTTCATAGCTTCACAACTAATCTCGGAAGAGATGCCAAGCATGCAACTATGGGTCCATCGAGTCTTTGGGCTGAAAACTCTGGGATCTCTCAGAGGAAGGGGGACAGGAAGGAGGGGGAGGGCTAAGATTCATCCCAGTTCTATAGATCCTGGAGCTCCTAGAGTGTGACACCTCCAAATTTCATAAACCTGACAGCCTCGTAGGAGCTCTGCAAATTAGATGAGAAATGTACTAACTAAGCTCAATAAACAAAAATGCCAACTGCACTCAATAAACAAAAAAGGTAACACAGGAAGCTCAACTCCGAGCAAAATGGTCAGTGAACATTCAGACATTACTTTGATAACCCCATTGTGAGATATAACAATTTTCACAGATTTACTTTACTGAACTATTTTTTGAGAATTCCATTTGTCATTTTATTGTAAAAAGCAATATAAAATAAATTATTTTGTGCCTTCGGGGTGAGGGGAGCAGGCTTGGGGGTGGGTGGGAACCTCAGGAAAGGATGGAAAGAAGGTCACACTAGTGGTGAGATTGTTGTTGGGACATTAAATCCTGAAACAACTGTATTATGAACAACTTTATAAACTGCAGTGTTAAATAAGTTAAAAAAATTAAATTAAATTAATGTAAGAAAGAATTTTTCCCAGTCTCTATAATAATAAAGTAATGTATGCCTGCTGTAAAAGTTTTATTAGAGAGCCTAGAAAAGTATAAAGAAATCCAATATAATCTCCCTGGTCCAAGTGCCCACAGACAAAAATTATTATGATACTTAAATCCTTTTATACACTGTTAAATTATTGTTGAGATGATACTATACACACAATTTTATGTCTCTTTTCACATCAGGTAATGATATGGCTGGTGATATTGGCCAGCCAATTTTCAATAAAGTTATGGGGTAAATCTAAGTAGTGCAACCAATACACAGATTACTGATCACTATACTTTCTTATTTTTTACTATACATTCTAATCCTTTGCTTTGATGGCTTGCAAATATAATCCAATATATCCTATGCTTTCGTGATTGCTCAAAATTAAATTTTTGATGACCAATAATTCAAGATGATATTTGAGAGATTCTATTCCCCAAGGAAATTTTTTCCTTTATTTTGTAATAATCAATATAAAATAAATTATTTTTTTCTGAAGGGGGGGGCAGACCCTCATTTTGTTTTTCATTCCCTTTGCACTTAAAAATTCCTAACAAATCAGATCTTAGCAGTAGAGAAAAAAAAATGTGCTAACCAAGATTAGCATACCATCCAAAGTAGACTTTTGAAACAAAAGTCATCAAGAAATATCTGTACTATATTGTTTCCAGGGGTGGAGGAGGCAGTTAAAACAGCACTACATGATACCATCACGTTTCTGCTCAGCAGAAAATGTGTCTCTCTCCATCCCAACACTCTGGACCCAGCAAAGATAAAACAGAAGCAAAAAATCTCAGCTGGAGAGATGCAGGTTGGACATTATTTAACCACAGCCTGCTCCATTCAACAGCCCAGGGAAGTGTTGTCTGCCAGGGAACTCAGCTTAGAAGGTGGCAGCCCAAGTAGTGCAGTAAACTCAACATAGGGCATGAGAGTGACTGTGGAGGAAGTGAGAGATGTGGAGAGTATAGTAGATGGGGTCAAGGTCGTTGGAGTTGGAAAGGTCTGTTTAAAAGGGTTAAAAGTCCTCACTTTGGGCTGGAGCGATAGTACAGCAAGGCCTTGCATGTGGCCGACCCAGGTTCGATTCCCAGCATCCCATTTAGTCCTCCGAGCACCATCAGGAGAAATTCCTGAGTGCATAGCCAGGAATAACCTCTGTGCATTGCCAGGTGTGACCCAAAAAGAAAAAAAAAGTCCTGGCAAGCTTCCCATGGCATATTCAATATGCCAAAAATAATAACAACAAGTGTCACAATTTGTTGTGAGATGTTACTGGTGCCCGCTAGAGCAAATCGATGAACAACAGGAAGACAGTGCTACAGTGCTACTTATCAACAACTAATAGAAAACAAGTATTGTAAAACATGTGCTTTGATGATTTCATTGAGATCAATGGAGCAGTGCACCGAATTGAACCAACATCATTACTACTTGGATATGTGGATCTTGTCAGTCCTAGGCTTTGGAAATATGAGGGACAGTGGGCCCCTTGGGGATCATCCTAGTCCTGTCTTTCAGACTGTCAGCCTGCTTTACAATCAGAAGTCTTTCTGAGAATGACAAACAAGGAACTGCTGTGTGGAATCTATACCCCCATTCTGAATGCACTTCCCAAAAACAGTGTTCACTGCAGCCTTATGCTGCAGCAAAGCACAAGTTTCCAAAACATCCTGCATGTAGATGGCTGAACTGTGCAAAATCTACCCAGCAAGCCTGCAAAGATTCTAAGGGCCCAGAGAGAACCAAGTATGAACTATCCTACCTACCCTCACAGCTTCAAGGTGCGAGCCATGCTTCTTAGGCTGATTTAGGTCTAAGTGTTTGTGATAGGACCAAGAATTTTTAGAGCTAAATTTATATAAATGTGCTCAAATAAATTAATAATCCAATATCACTCAGTTCTTTGGAACATCAAATGCCACTGTCTGAGTGAACAGATGAACTTCCTAAAATTCTGTTGTTCACACCAAGAAGTCCAAAAAACCAATATGTTCCTCTTTCCTTTGTTTTTTTTTTTTGCTTCTATCTTTCTTTCTCTTTTCTTCCTTCCTCTTGCTTAGAATTATCTGTTAATCTAAAACTATTGCTGCTCTGTGGGACAAAATGTGCTGGTGATTTCAATACTAGAAAATGTGGGGAGGAGGGAAACTGTAATTTTGAAAGATAAAATTATAGATATCCATATACATTAAAATACAATAATTTTTAACAAGAAAAAAAGACTCTGGAATAAAAGTATACTTCCAAAACAAGAAATTCAGTCTGAGGAAAGGAAATGTCAATGCCCTAGAAAAATTAATTTATTTGCTAAAGATAAGTAGTTATTGATTTCTCCAGAGAGGCACTTTGCCCTCAGATTAAATCA